TTGAAGATCTTCTCCAACCTATTCTAGCTAAAATAAAATTTGAAATAGTTAGCTATAGCATTCATAGAAAATAAGAGATGTAATATCATATTAAGTACCAATTTATAGCACAAATGTAGTTTAGAAATCTTTAATTTTAGAACTTATATTTCTATATGTAAAAAGTTTTTACTTAAACATTATATTAATAAAAAAAAATTTACTAATTAAATATATTAGTAAATTTTTATTTATTATGCAAATAATTTATTATACCAAAAATTGCAATTAACTGACTCATTGTAATTATATTACTAATTAATTAATTGAATTTAAAAAATTGCAATTAATTGCTCTTATAATTATTTATTTAGTAGGTCTGTTTGGTTTAGTAACTGTTAAGATATTTTAATTTAAACTTTAAAAAACTTTTACTTAGCAAAAATCCTTTTCTTTTCTATTGACCAGCTACTATTTAATAAAAATTAGATATTATAGATTTGGTCTGAATTCAAAAATAATTACTTATATATAAATTAATATTATATTATTTATAACAATAAATTATTTGTTATATAATTTGCAAAGTAATAAGTATTTTAATTTTATATAATTAATTAATTACAAAAAAGTTACTATATAGCAATTATTATATGTTATTTTATTTGAATTAAGTCTAACTTAAGTTTATTAATTTTAGTTGCTACAACAAAATTATTTTAGCAGATTTTAATTTTATTAGTAAAAGCAATAATTAAAAAAATTAGCTAGAAATATTTAACATTTTACTAATAAAATCATAATTTATTAAGTAAAAATTAATTCAATTTTGAGAAATATCTAAATTAAAAATAACTTATTAATATTTTTGAATTAATTTTAAAGGTTATCTTAAATTAAAAATAGATTGCATTTTAAATAAATATATATTAAATATATATAAAATTGCCTTCTTGATATTTTTATTTAACTAACTTAAGATAATTGTTTTTTGTATTTTTTAGATTTTTTGTTTTTTTTTGTTTTGTCAATAATTATCAAAATATTATAATTTGATTGATCTATAGTTATGCATTTATCTTTGCTTTAAATGACTTTATTTTAAAATAAAAATATTAAAAAGTTAATTATAGTCAAAATTTAGTAAATAAAATATAATATATACCAAATTTTGCAGATCTACTGCTATTAGCAATCAAAATTAAAGATCTGCTAGGACAATTTTGTTGTAACAATTATAGTTAATTTAACTAAAATAAAATTACTATTTTAAAATTTTTTGATATTACTAATTTATCTATAATAATAATATTTATTAAAATATTATTATAATTAATTTAGTAATTTTTTTTGATTCTTTAAAATGAAAAATAGTTATTAATACTTCTAAAAATTTTTTCTCTTAAACAGTCAAAATTTAGTACAAATTTGTAATAAATTTTATTATAAAAATATTTCTGATTTATTTCTTTAAAAAATTAATATATCTCTAAAAAATCTAAACTTTAGTTACTTATATATATTGACAATGAAATTATTATTGACAAAATCTGCAGACATTTTAAAAACATTAATCAAATATCTATTACATACTGGCAAACAAACATTGATATAAATCATTCTAACTACTATTCTCTTTTACTAACCTAAAGCTTACCTTGCCTAGGCTGTCATCTAAACTCCAACAGAATTCAGAATGTATATACAATAATATATCAGCAATTATCTTTTTTCAATTCCTAGAAAGAGTTAATCCTAACTCATTAAACTTCAATGCCAATTATATTGACCTTATTCATTCAACAACTATCAAACATCTACTATTAATTCCTCCAATACTAACAATTTCAATTCTCAACTTCTATGTTTTTAAAATATTTAAAACTAGTGAAGCAGCAAACATATTCAAACAATATTCAATTCTTAATAGAACTTAACAACAACTTAACTTTTACACTAATGGTTTAGTAATTAATATTGAAACTAACCAATGTATAATAAGCATTGGTTAGGTCCAAGTCAATAACAATAATCAAATAATTCATAAATTTTCTGTTAAAACCAACTTCTGGCTATCATCTTATAAAGCAGAACTAATGGCTATTCTTTTAGCTATTTCTACTACATCTTGAAATGTAATAGTCAATATTTTTACAGATTCTTAATCTATTATTACTAAATATACTAGCATCTATACCACACTTTCTAATCCTAATAAACTTTTTAAATTCAATATATAGCCTATATGGCATATTTTACTGAATATTATTAATTCTTACAACCTCCAAATCAACTTCTATAAAGTACAAACTCATATCAATAATAATCTAAACAACCTTGTTAACTTTCTTGCTAAGCAACATAATCTCTTTTCAGAATTATATTTCAACTATACTAATATTTACAATCCATACCACATGCTATTCTGAGACTAACATTTTATAGAATACCCTACAAAAATATTTATCAAAAATATTTGTAAAGCCTATATTTTGGTAATGTGGTCATTTCAAAAAGGAACCAAAAATAGAACTAACTTATTTCAGAAATAGATTGGAGATCCATCTTGGCTATACTTCAATCATAGCCAAAAATCAACACATAATATAACCAACTTAAACTTAATCATTTCAAATTTTTTAAAATCAAAAACTTTACTAAATAAACTACATACACACTTTTTATATCATAAAAGATATCCATATACCTTCTATAATATAAATTGCTTTTACTGCAACTTACCTGACTCTTTAAACATTGGCAGACATGTTCTAATCCTACACTATTCACTAGTATCATTCAAGATATTATCTCCAAACATATTAACTAAAGCAACCTGAACCTCTCCAAACTTCAACAAGAACTTATTCAAAAAATTCAAAACTATGAAACCTTCTATCAAATACTATTCAATGAAAACTTATTCTATCTTAATATTATTTTTAAAAGACTCATACCCAAATCTCTAATTTAAACAATTCAAAACCTTAACATTTCTTACAAATTAGCATTACAAACAGTTATTAAAATATTACTTGAAATTAATGAACTATGCTCAAAACTATTCTGAAAACTATATTGTATAAACTTTTCAAATTAGAAAAAACAACAAGATCTTAAACCTTTTTTTTTTAATACTTAACTTAAACTAATTATAATAAACAAACTAAATATACTGCCAAACATATATATACTTATATATATGTGGACTACCTGATCAAGTATACTCAAATTCCAATACATGCCTACCTTTTGGCCATGTTATTAGAAAAATTAATATATGGACTATTCTCTGGATCAAATACAATATTTTATTTAATTATATTTTAACTATCCAAATCTAGATGAGTCTTGACCACTCTAGTAGGTTTAGGTCACAGATAAATATGCTGAGCTTCATTTTTGAATATAGTCTTCTTCTTATTTGTACTTAAGTTAGTTATATATAGTTAGCAGTTTAATGATTAGCCCTAACTGCAAGTGTTGGCCTTGGCCATAGCATTTATATATAGAAATATTTCTGTACATAGTAACTCAATGAAGTTACTAACTTTAAAAACTACCAATAAAGATATAAGCAAGGCCTCACCTTAATACCAAAAAAAAAAAAAAAAGCAATTCAACCTTCTATATTTTATAACAATTTGGAGATAAATTGGCATCTGATTTTTGGTCGATAGTTAAAGCTATAATCGATAGTTAGAAAATTATAATTGAAAATTTTTTTGTGCAAAGTATACAGGTTTGCAAAAAATTTTACAAGTATAAAATATTAATTTATATATTTTTTTTATTATATAATTATATACAACTATTATAGTACTATTATTTCCTAATTACTATGTTAATATCAAGAAACTAAAGTGATATTAAAAAACTAGAATACTAAAAAACTCAAATGATATTAAAAAACCAGAACATCAAGAAATTAAAACAGTACCAAGAAACTAAAACAATACCAAGAAACTAGAGCAGTACCAAGAAACTAGAGCAGTACCAAAAAACTAGAATAACATAAAGAACTAGAGACATCAAGAAAACACTAATAAAAAGAAAAAGTAAACAGATTTATAAAAGAAAAAATAAATGAAAAAAAGCTAAAAAAAAAAAAAAAGTATACATCAGTATATACTTATGTAAGTCTAATAAAAAAAAATAAAGAAAAATGAAAAAAAAGATTAAAAAAAACAAAAAAGAAAAGATTGTGTTATATATTCTGAACTATAAATGTTAACAATAGATTTTAACAATATGATTGTATAAACTCCGCATATTATTATTACATATTGTTAAATTCAGAAGCTCTAATTTGAACATAATTCTGCAAATCCACTGTGCTGATATGATTTTTTCAGTAATCAACCTAAAATCAGATGTCAATTCCCCTCTGAATTGCTATATAAATATTCAAGGCCAAATAGTGAGTAGAGTTTGAAACCAAATTCAACTTTCGAATTTAAATCTGATTTTCTTTGTATCTGATTTAAATTCAGATATAAAACCAATATTCTGAATCTGCAATACTTACATTATCTGCACAAACTTATAAAAAACAAAAGTATTCTATCATTGTTCTTAAGTAATCGGATGTTTTTGTCACCAAGTGTATATATGTATATATATATGTATATATAATAATGCTAGACACAACCTAGGCACAACTGAATATTATCAAATAAATTCGGATTAAAATCTGATACATATTTTTATTAATTAAATTTAATATGAATCGAAAAGTGAAATCTGGTTCCAAACTCTAATAGTGAGTTGAAATTGGGATGATTTTTTTTATATAGACAATTTTAGTTTTTTTTAGGTTGATATTTACTAACATTCGACTAAGTCAATTGTTATATGTTTGACTGGTGAATATTCAATATATAGTTTAATAGATAGAAGATAGTAAATATATTATTCTTTGTTTATTAAATTTTTATGCATTTTTTATTTAATTTGTACACTAAAATAATAAGTAATCTTTTCTATTACAATCGAGCAGCACAACTTTGAAAAAAAAATCAATGATCATAGCTAGAGATGGATTTGGTCAGCTTAGCCGTTTTATAACTAACTGAACCCATTCCTAATCACAGCTTCAAGTATTTGTTTTTATAATTAATCTTTTCATTTGGTAAGCATATTGTTGGAGATGCTTGAGAATGATCTAAATTAATCTATTAGTTAAATTTGCACTTTTACAATATTTTTCTATTGTACTTCCAATTTTATAGTTACTCTGGGAATATTATGAATAGATGAGGTAAGAAGAATGTGACTTGGTTAAATTGTAATTAAAAATTGTAAACTGCATTACCAACATATAAAAAAAGACTAATTCAGATTTAATTTATGATAAAACCTTATTAAAAAACAGCAAGGTGTCTTTGATTATTAAGAGATAGAACTAAAGAATGCCAGCAGTTGTAGTCGTGTATAAAAATAAGAAGCATGAAAGACTTACTATTAGCTATAAATTTCCTCTAACTTATGTAGTAAGATTTTAGAATTTAATTATTAAAATTGTTGATAGACAATATAAACAGATATGAAATACTTACTATTAGCTGTAAAATTCTCTTTAACTTATGCAGTAAGGTTTTATAATCAGATTGTTAAATAACTAACAATGAAATATAAACAAATATGAATAAACCTTACAATTATTAAGAGATAGAATGAAATAATGTTATAGTCGTGTATAAAGTAAGAAGTATGAAATACTTAATATTAGTCATAAAATTCTTTCTAACTTATTTAGTAAGGTTTTAGAATTTAATTATTAAAATTATTGATAATACAGCATAAACAGGTATAAAATACTTACGAGTCATAATCAAAGGTTTCAAAGTCTTATTGTTAAATAATTTATGATACAATATAAATAATATAAATATTTACTGTTAACCATAAAATTGGAATAATATAACAAGACATAATCGAAAGTTTCAGAATTTAATTGTTAAAATAATTGATGGCACAACTTAAATAGTTTTAAATTATTAAATGTTTTATTTTACTTTCTAATCTTATTTTTTTGGTTAATTTCAATTGTTCAATTTTATTACATATGAGAAAAGAGATTAGTAATTAAAAAGATACAAATCAAATAAATAGCACAAAGAATTTGCAAAAAAAAAAATTTGAAATTATATACAATTGAATTAAAAAAAAGTATAGAAAAACAACCTTACCATCTGACTGACTTTATAATCATACTTGATAAAAAAGCAAACAAAAGTAATAAATTTTGTATTTGTAAATGTTGTGTATCAGGCTCTTTATATAATGATGCAATAAACAATAAGTTTGCAAATATACAAGAGCTTGTTCACCACTATTTAAAAAATTGTATTTACTTTAAACAAGCTTATAGTGAATCTGAGCAAGCAAAAATTTTAGAAAAGTCTGATAAATTAAATAGAGAAGGTTAAGTAATTATTAATTATACTCATAATTTAAAATCGCTTTTATTAATTGATATATTTAATTTAGATTCTCAAAAGAGTTCTGATAATAATACTATTTTAGATATTTCTTCAGCATCATTAGAGAATTCTACATTTACATCAAATCAACAGTTTTCAAATAAAAAATATACAATTGATCAATATTGTTTATGACCTTTAATTAAAGATCAACAAAAACAATTTGAGCAGCTTTTACTTTAGGCGACTGTCTCATGCAGTTGGGCTTTCTCTTGGATAGATAACCCTGAAGTAAAAGCATTTTTTAAATTTCTTCATCCCTTAGTTAAACTACCTTCACAAAAAGATCTTGGTGGTCGAATTCTGGAAGAATCAGCACAAAAAATAAATATTTTCATTCAAGAAGTAGCTCAAAAAGATACAAATAGTATTACATTAGCATATGACAATTGGAAAAACATAAAAAAAGAATCAATTTTTGGAAGCATTTTAATTACTTCAATGGGTAAGGTCCTTATTTGGAATGCGAAAGATATATTGAATAAACATACAAGGTGGTTTGATGTACAGCATAAGACAGAGGATATGCTTAATAATTTAAATAAAGAAGAGATTAAAGTTAATGCTGTTGTCACAGATTGCGCATCTCAATATGAAGTAGCAAGGCAATATTATATACAAGTAAACTAATTTAATACAGTAAAACCTCTATAAGTGCATCCTCTATAAGTGCACATCCTTTCCAAATGCATGCTTAAATTTGGGCCCAAATCTATACATGACCTTCATAAATGCACCTTTTCTTATTGTTTTCTAAGTGCATGTTATTAAAGTTCAGTCCTAAGAGCATGCACTTATGGAGGTTTTACTGTTGTTATAGAACAATTTATTATTATATTATTATTATTATTAGTTATTATTATTTTATTATCTTATTATTATTATTTAGTATTAGTTATTCTATTATTGTATTGTATTATTATTAGTAGAAGTTGTCGAAACATTCTGGTTGATTAGTAATTACTTAGTCGCTTAGTTGCTTAGTAATTAGTCACTTAGTAATTATTAGTTATTAGTTGCTAGAACCTTTCAGTCACTTAGTAATCACTTAGTTGCTTAGTTATTTAGTCATTTAGTTACTTAATACTTGATCACTTAGTTGCTTAATTGCTTTGTCACTTGACTACTTAGTTATTTAGCTTATAAATATATAAATCTTATTAAATTTTCCAAATGCAATTAAGCAACAAACACTTCTCTTCTTTTTAATATTGTAAATACATCTTAAGATTCTTTAGGAACAGAAACCTAAAGATAATCCTTTTTGTTATTATTTTAATAAATGACTTTTGATTATAAACTGTATTAATACTCTTCTTTTAAAATAATTCCTACAGACAAGATTTATCTCCTCTTAATAAAATAAAGTAAAGTTACTAGAATTGCATTACCTTTTCTGAACTGTCTTAAAGAAAAGTATAGTTTCTTAATAACATCTAACAGTAGCTATACTTTTCTCTTCAACATTGCATATACCTATAAGAGATTTCCTATATCATGTCATCATTATAGTATGAAAATTAAGAAAATTTTTACTTATAACAATATTAATTATCTTTGCTTATATTTTTGAAAAACAGCATTTTATTACTATAAAACTCAAACTAAATATACCTGTTCTTCTTATTATAAATAATTGAGAAAATATATGTTTTGAATAAAACAAGTTGTGAAAAAATCTATTTGTAGAAAGAATTACTTATTTTAAAAAAAGTTATAATGAAAAATGTAATTATTTGCAAAAAAAAAATCAGAATAACATAGTATAATTGAAGTTTAACATTATAGAATTAAAATTGATAATTTTATATAGATTTGAATCCATTATACAATTATAAAAGATTTTAAATTTAGTACTAAAATATTTGTTAAATTAGTAAAAAATCAATAAGAAATCCAAACCTCATAAATATCTGATATTTGGTATATGTAACATTATAATACAAATGTTAAACAATGCATATGTACTGTATGTATATATATACATTTGTCAAAAAAACTACATACGTATTTTTCCTTTAACGTAAAGAACAAAATCTTTAAAAGAGAATGTTTGTTAAACATATACTAAATCAGTTATCGTTATATACATAGAGATGCGATCCGTTATCCGTTTTCATACTTAAAATTTAACGGATATCCGGATTCTTCATAATAAATTTGTTATAAAATTAACACAACGGATATCCGAATCTCATCTCTATTCGTATATAGTCACGTGATTTATCGGTACGTGCAAAGTCATAAGTCTGGGCCGTAAAATCGTGCACAACATAGAGGTGCGCATTTAGCACCAAGCTCGGGACCGGGCTATAGTGTGCACTTAATTTCATGTGATCAACCAACCACTAGGCAGTTATCCCTGGTGGATTCGTTAGAATGACTTTTTAAAGACGCATGTTGAAGTCTACGATTTTTCTGGTTTTTTTTTTGTGATTTTATTGGCTCCAATCAATGATGCCCGACACAACCTTGAACGATTCTTTTCTCTGAAATAACAATTTCGCCAGTCATACTAACGTCTTTATTATTCGATTATAAAAAATTAAATTTACATGAAATAAATAAAAATAAAATAAAAGATGTATCTAGATTACAAAGTCTTTGTTATTAGGAAAAAACTATTTATTGATCCACCCATATTAATCAATTCACGTACAACCATGAATCTTTAAGAATAAATGCAAATACAATACGTGCGATTATTTCCGTGAATAAATAATACGACAGTGCGTTTTAGTAGTCCCACTTTACCTTTGTCATATTCTTACCTAATGCTCTGTTGGCCTTAAATAACTTGAACACGCTACGTGTTTTTTCAAAAAACAAACATCTCTTAAATACATAATATAATCTAGCAGCACGCAGAATTTTCCTGCTTTGTTTGTGCTGAGCGAGATACATTGATATTATCAGGTTGCCTTTCTTTTTTTTGCCATAAGCTTGGTGTTTCAATGATCTATATAAATAATTAATAATTAACAATAGACAACATAATATACACTGAGTAAAAAACTTGGCAAGGTTAATGAAATTAAAGCAACCTTTGTGACAAGTTCGTCAAAAGCTTCTTTAACTCCAACCCTAGTTTTAGCACTACATTCAATAAACAAAGTTTGCATTTTTCGTGCATATGCTTCAGCTTCTTTGCGAGTGATCACTCGAGAATGTTCCTATGAAACGATAGAAAAAATTACTTAAAAATCAATTTGAAATAAATAAATGTTTTATGGATTTCATAGTGAATTGTCTTAACATATACTTTGTCAACTTTGTTTCCAACTATCATTTTCACCACATCTTTACTCGAACAATAAGTATTCAATTCTCCGAACCAACTATCCAATTGGTCAAACGATTCTCTCTTGCTTACATCGTAAACTAGCGACCCACAAAGATTGAGTGAATAATTAAATAATAAAATAATTGTTGAAACTTGATCATAAATATTATTACCAAGAATAACACCTTGTACACCACGATAATATGAAGAAGTGAGAGTTCGAAATCGTTCTTGACCAGCAGTATCCTATCAAATTTTTGATGTGAATAAGTCATGAATTCTAGACTCAAGAAATAAGAAATTTAAGCTAAAAAATATGGAGCACCCAAATAGTCAACTTATATCTTTTGCCATTGACTACTGTATCTACTACTTTAAAGTCTACACCTATTTATTATAATAATTTAACAATTAACACAGTCAGTTTCTAATAAATTCACTCTTGGCTTTAGATATAAATCTATTCTTAAAATCACCTATTGTGGCTGACACATCGTCCGTCGGTAAGAATGTATCCTCAGTGAACCGTAGTAGAAGAGAGGACTTTCCCACATTAGAATTACCAATTAGAAGAATTTTAAGAGTTGCGTGGTATTCATCAAAAGCTTGCGCCATAAAGACGATAATTTTATTTCGAAGTAGAACAGAACTTTTCAAAAGATACAATATAACCTTTTAGAGATTCTGAAGCAAGAATGAGAAAAGAAATACAGATCTTATATTGTAGAAGGGACTTAATAAATGAGGCTATGCAATGATACATACGTCACAATACCCAAAAGGTATTCGTATATATATTCAGTTTATAGCGGAAAATCCATTTGATTGGTTGATGATCATCGTTTTTGATTGACTAATCGTTATCTATTTTTTTAATTAGCTAGTGCTTCTAACTAATAGAACGAACATATTACTCTCAATATCCATGTTTAGAATATATGACTATAGGAAAAGAAAATTTTGTCAAATTTTTTTATATAAAATTATTTTTTACAGTATTTGACAAAAGTTTCTCTACATTTATAATTATTGATAGATCATATGGGCTAGGTGTTGGAAAAAGGGCCAAAAAAAAAGATCTTCAAAAATCAATTTTTATAAGAAAATGCAAACTTTAAAGAGTTACGTATACTGCAAAATTTTATTAATACAACTACTATCTTTTTTTTTTTTTTTTATTTATATAATATCAAGTAGGAAAAATAGTAATACATGAATATATCAATTGAATATAAATGTATAAATGAAATATTTCTAATTTACACTATTGTTGCTATATATATAACAACATCTAGCGTGATATTAATCTTTAATTTTCTGTGTTAGTTAAATCTACTATTGTAATCATTAACTACAGAGGAAGGTAAAAGGAACCTTTAAGATTATTTTAATTAGTAAAAACAAGTATATAGTAAAATTTTGAGAAAGAGTTTTAAGAATAAATTGGTCTATATTAGTGTTAAATATGAATATGTTGTTATTGGACTTAAAAGGTTGTATAATAGATAATTAGACATTGTTTTTTCTTTTAGTAAGAGTAATAATTCTTTGTGCTGATTTCCATTCATGTTATTTGATATTATGAGTTTGCCAAATATTAAGATTGAACCAGTTGAATAGAGAGTTAGATAAAGAGATAAGAAAGCTATTAGTTAGTTTTTTTAGAATTTATTGAAGTTATTTATATTGATTAAATGTTATTGTGTCTTGAATAAATAAAAGTATTATGTTATATATAATAAAGTTTGAAAAAAGATTTTGTAAATTAAAGATTTGAGTTATAGTATGTAATGAAATTTCTAAGAAGTTTAAAGAGTTTAAGATATTTATAATTTTGTTAATAAGAATGTTTTATGAATTGTAAGTATGAAGTGAGCATTGAAGTAAATATTTAGTTTTTTTATATTAATTATAATAGGAACAATTTGGAATTAAGTAGAGTAAAGAATAGTGAATGTTTAAATTTGACATAATTGACAGATTATTAAGGGAGATTTTATTCCTAATTGAATAAAGTTTCAAATTAGAATTTTCTAAATTAATGATTTTAGTAAATAGTAGAATATTTATAATTGGAAGTTTTCGTAATAGTTTAAGTTGAAGAAGTTTGTTAAATATTTGAATAGGAAAGAGGTTTTTGCAGAATTTACGAAGTTTAAATATAATTGGTATTTCTTTCCAAGTAAAGAAAGTAGATAAATAAAAATAATCAAGATTATATTTTAGTTCTGTTTTTTTTACACCTTGTTTAGCTAAAACATCAGCAATATTATATAAAGTATTATTTAAATATGATTTAATTTTGTGTATAATATAATTTATATTTTTGAATTTGGTTAGATAGTTTAGAATATAAATAATATCTTAGTTGTTTTGTTTAGTTTGAGAATTGTAGTTATAAGGTATTAAATTAGTAAGAGTTTGTATAGTAAATAAGCTGTCTAAATAAATATAAATTGAATAGTTGAAGGGTAAGATAAGAAATAAGAGAATGAGTACTGTTAGTTCTGCTCGTATTAAATTTGGTACAAAGTTTATAAAGTCATTAAATTTAATTTATATATTATTTTTCAGAATTCAGGTTATGTTAGTAGAAGTATTGTGTGTTTATGAATTAAATATGGAAATATCAATATAAAAATATATATTAGTTGGTTCAAGAGATAGTAATTTTTGGTGAGACTTTATAAATTGGTTTTGGTATATGAGATTAGATATTATGTTTTGTATTAAAAGAATTTCTGAGAAGAGTAATAAAAATGATGATAGAGATTTTGAAATTAGTTTATATAGGTCTGCATGAATATTTTGAAATGCTTTGATTTTTTGGTTGTTTATATTAAGTTCAAAGTTTTAGTTTTTTTTTATGTTTTGTATTTAAGATTAATGGTTTGTTTATAATTTATTTGAAGTGTTGTTGATATAGAAGAGATATGAATTGTGTTAGTTATTGAGTTTGTAATTTGGTATTTTTGAAACAGTATTTGAGAGTTAGATGTATTGATTATTTTACCAATATGCCAATCTAAAGATAAAATATAGAGTAATCATATATTTTTCAAGATTACAAATTGGAATGTAATAAGATTTAATGTATTTAAAAAAGAATTGGTATGTTGAAGTTGAAGATTAGGCCATATATGCAAAATAGAATGATCAGATATTTGGTTTAAGAATATTTTAAACTATTTTGAAATAGGATCTCATAGAGATTTGAGAGTTCTGAGATATATATTTTTCTAAGAAAGGAGGTTAAGATTATCAGTTATGAGTAATTGTTCTAAGAAAAGAATTCTATTGTTTTTAAAATTTAGAGTTGTTAAATTGTTAGGAATTGTAATAAAACTATAAATGTTATTCAGTTGGTTAGTATGTTGTAAGTTGTTGATTAATTTAGATAGGTGTTGTTAATAGTGATATTATTTTTGTATAGATGATAGAGTTGAGATATTATAGTATAGTTGATAGATTTCCTATAGTTGGTTAGAATTGTATCCTGAATTAGAGAAGGTTTCTATATTTTAAAAAACCAATTCATAACTCAGTATATAGAGATTTGGTTTAGAAGTATGTTAGTATTAAAGCATCTTTCTATATTATTATTACTAACTTGAAGTATAAGTTTATTGAATATTGGAATGTTGAGTAGTTGTAAATTGGTAAATATGTCATTATTTGTATTAGTAGATAGGTATAACATATGTTTAGTGCATTTTGTTAAAAAACTTAATAGTTGTTAGAGTTTGTTTTATAAAGGAAAACATATTTAGAATAAATATTCGATTGATGGTGATAAAATAGTATTAAACAGTCAGGATATTTGTATACTAAAATGAATTAAAAAAAAAAAATATCAGGCTGACTTGCTATTTTGATAGATTGGTTGTAATCTTATACAGGCTATCTGAATTAAGAATTTGATAAAAAGTCAGATGAAAAGATAAGGGTATACTAAAGTACTGAAGTTATGCTATAAAATAGATATTGAGGTCTAAGTGAACTCTACAAGAGCATAACAGTTTAATGGTTAAGCTCTGATCATAAGTGTTGGTTCTATTATAGTAATACTTAGATCAATTATAAAAATAAGTACAGAAGGTTCTGGAGAGTTTACCTCAAAGATAAAATAGTTCTAAGGTTAAAATAATAATTTAAACATCAGGTATGACCTAGTGAAGTTAACAGGTTTACAGGTTCAAAGGGTTTAAAGTAGAATACTTAAGCAGAGGTGTTAGATATAACAATTAGTAAGGAACCTTTGGGGTGACTCCTTAAATAAGTAATATAGTAAAGTTACACATATAATCAATTGTATGCTCTTCCTGTAGTGGTTTACTGAACCACATTTACCATTGTTAAATAAAATCAAAAGACTTAAGAGATCACCTTAACACCAAAAAATAAAATAAAATAAATCAAAAAATAATAAAAGAAAAAATAAACAAAAAAAAAACATTAGAAAAGAAACTAGAAAAACAATATTAAGACTTGTTATAAAAAAAAGAAGACCCTTTTATTATAGACTCTAAATAGTCAAACAAACAGTATACTTTTGTTTGAAATAGTGTAACAAGTTGCAATTAAGTATTACCAGGTAATGCTAGACTTAGTTATTAGGTGTATCTATATAATTGCAAAAATAATTTCAAGAATCTTAACAAAGTACTAGCATGACTGCTTAAGTTTAAAAAAATATATTTTTATTTTTTAAAAATTATAAAAAATTTAAATTTTAATTCTAATTTTTTTATTTTAATTTTTTGTATTTCTTTTATATAATATCTGATCTTTTAACCCTGATTTTTGGTTTTGCAATTCGATTGGTAGCAATTTAAACCCTATTAATTGTCCGGAATAAATACGATTTTGATACTTTTATAAAGAAAAATCAAAAACGTAGTTTCAGCAATTTCCGTCTGTAACGCCGCTAAAAAATTTAATCTGATGAGGCCATTAATTGAACAATTTGGACTCTGGACTTGTACCAGTTTCCTACTTCTGGTTAAATCTCATTTTTTTAAAAAAAAATTAGCTTACAGCTGTTTTCAAAAAGATGTGAACAACGAATTCCATCTACCTATGTGTGAAATCGATAGCTTTGATGATCTGTCTTTTCACATTGATTTATATTTCGTAGATACCCCAGCTATATTACTACATGTCATCGGGCTTTCCATATAATACATCACTGATCAGATTTTTACTGAAAACCCGATGACAGGATTTCCCTTAACGACACTTATACTACAGCAGAGACAGTGCCCAATCCAAAGTGAATCCCTCTCGCCTGTGATCAATTACAAATTAAATTATTTATGTTGGATCCAATTTGATGCTCACCAGTTTTAATATGTGTAACATTCACAGTCTTGCTGTACACTTATACTCTGTCAAAGATCACTAACAGAATTTTATGAACGTGACTCTAAACAAATTAGCGATCCAAATAAATTACATAATTCACAAAAATAGTGGAATATTTGTTACGCGAACTCAAAGTTAGTGAATTTTCTTTAAAAATTTAATGAATGAGTAGGTTCACTAAGAAAATGTTTTTTGGATATTTAGACAGGTTGTAAGTTCCTTTTCTTGCTCATGCAGAGGTGGTGTTTCTTAAACAACCGACTTGTGTTAAGGACATGCATATAGTATCAATGATTGTCTATATAAATCTTTTCCTTTTATTACAGTTTCAAATAATGACAACGATAATAGGTGATCCACTTTGCGCAGAAGGATTGCAAAGAATCGCACTAAGATTGTTTTTTATTCCAAATTGCCAGCCAGAATAAAACATTACTTTTTAAGAAAAGATTATATTCCGTTAAAATCCCGATTGGATATTCCGATACCAACTTACTAATTTTCCATTAATCAATGAACAATGTAAGTGACCATTTACTCATTCCAAAAATAATTCCATGTACGTATGTATGTAAGTAAATAAGTCGAAACATTGACAAATACTAGTTAAAGTATAATAATCGAGGAGAACTTAACCGAAATTGATAAGTCTTTTACAAATGAATTAAGGACTTTCTTAAAGATCGGATTTACATATAATTCGCGGTAATTCCTGTTCGTATCCTTATATGTGTAATAAGCCGTTGATTAATAAGTAATCCATTGTACAGTTCGACTATTACGGAATAAAACATATTCTAAGGCTTTCTCATTAAAGAAAGTTCTTGAACTCATCGATTATTAGAATATCGCACAAACCTAAAATTGGCACATTCATATCTCTGTGCAGCATATCGCAGTCTGTACTATCGTTCAATAAAGGGAGTACGGCGTTTTTTTGCTGAATTCATATCCTACAATCAGACTGAAGCTTCCAATCGTGTGCTGACAAACTGAATCGGGAAAAAAAATAAAAAGGAAAATGATGATTTTAAAATTGTATTTTTTTTCTTAATCTATAATTGTATTATATTACAAAAAAAAAAAAAAAAACATAAAGAAATTGGTGTATCTAAACAAGAATCGAATTCGGAAACGAAAAAGGCAATACGTATACATATACATTCTAAAAGATGAAAAAGGCTTTTCAAGGGGGTTTAATAAAGGATCTTAATTACAGGAGAAAGTAAAAAAGCCTTTAATATGTCTTCACTATTTTTTTTTTTGATTGTTTTTTTTTTTTTTTTTGTGATAAAGGTTGTGGGAAGAATTTACAGATAATTACATAAAAAATCATATTAATATGCACGAAATAATATAATAAATAAAAGGGTTTAAATTCCTTAATATACTTCTATTAGAATTTATATAAATGGTTAGTAGAAAATTTTTCTTAAAGTTTAGTACATAAAGTATTATTTTTAGAGCATAATTGAAAAGTGAAACGAATGCATCAGGCGCTGTCTATGTTAAAAAGAAAAAAAAAGGTACTGTACAAACGGAAACGAAATTTGAATGCATAAATTTTCTAGCAAATGTTCGTAATATTAAGAATAATCCGATACGGAATCAATTACGTTGTTGACCACCGCCCCGACTATATCCCTCACCGTGACGCGCTAGATTCATTCCACTACTTTCATGATGGTACTCATGGGGCGGTTGTCCGCTAATTGGTTGACTGTAGGCGTGACTGCCAACATGTGGGTTACTCTGCACATAACTTTGTTGTGAATGCGGATACCAATCAACAGGTCTTAAAATTGGGGATTCGCTTTCGTACTTAATCTGTACAGGATGGTGATCAGGTTGGCGTTGTTGCACATGGTCCAAATGTTGTGTCTGGAAATTGTGCTGATGAGATTCGGAAGAATGTTGTTGCACGTGCTGATTATAGTAATGGTGTTGATATACTTGTTCTGCGGAAACTGGTCTAGCCGAAGGACCGGGAGTTACTTCAGCCGAAACAGCCGTATACTGCGGACGAGAGTGATTCCTGAAGGATGCTACCTGTTGACCTGCAACGGGGGTAAGTGGGGGTAAACTAAGAGGTGGCTGTTGATGGTGATGATGCTGCTCAGGATGATCATGAAGGACTTGTTGGTGCTGCGGCTCCATTCGGTGCATATATTGCATATGTTGTAGATGCTGCTGATCGAGCATCCGATTCGATAAATATAATTATTGTTATAGAAATAATAAAGAAAAAGCTGCATGAAAGTAAATTTTCATACCTGGTGTTCGTTTAATGTGGTCATGGGATCAACTACTACTTTTTGATCAACAGGCACATTTTGAGACTAAATTAAAAAGGATTCAATAAATACACGTGTCCAAAATATAATCGGTGAAAAATATCGATATGGTCGATCTCGCGTTGTAGACACTCACAGACAAATGTAGAAATTAAGATATGGAGGAACTTACAGTGTTGAATTGAGGTCCACCCTGTGCCAACCCCATTCCAAAGCCATATGGACTTTGATGATCTTGATATTCCATCTGTTTGACAAACAAATAAATATAACCAAATAGATCATGGATTAACTTTTTCATTCAATGTTCCAAACCTTTTCAGTCTTTACGTTGACTTTTTCTTCTCTTGGAACAATGTCTATTAAGAAGTCAAACATATCTATCTTTTTTATTGCATTGGCAATATCTGATCTTTGTAATGTTCTTCGTTTGCATTCTTCAGCATGGAGCCTGAAAATTAATATTATAAATTTTCAATCATGAAATTCTATACGGATAAAGAAAAAAAAAAAAGAAACCAAAGATTACCATGCTCGCATTGTTAATTCAGTTATAAAAATATCGCAACCTTTTGCGAATAAAATAGGAGCCTGATGATGATAAAGTTCAAAATTTCGGATGATTTGTTTAAATTTATTTTCGCGTGAATTCCTCAAGGATATGACTTACTTCTGCACTGATCATCTTTATGAAAAATGAAAAGTTGGAATAACAGGTAAGAAATTAAAAAAATACGCGGAAGATTGATAAAGCAATATCGAATGTAATTTATAGATGAACAAAGTAGAATGAAAGTCGGAGAAGAAAAGGAAACCACCATGCGTACGATGAAATCATTAGGATTCGGTGTAACCATCCCTTGGATCCATAAATTGATCGATATATTCTCTAATGGTGAAAAAGAAGAAGCGGTTTGTAAAACTCTACCTTAACTTCCTCATCGGTTTTCATGACCTTCTTGATTCTGGCGAGAGGCAACTGGTGAACCTTAAAATCGTGTACACCGTGTCGTATTTCATGCACTTGTTGTTGCCAAAAACTATCAAGAACGTTATAATGTTGCGGTTGAAATTGGTGTTGTGGATGCATAGGTGGAGGAGCTGCTGCCAGGGCAACTTGTGCTTGGGGATCCGTTATGAGATGTTGAGCACCCGGACCACCTACAAGTTGGTGTTGTGGTAGTACCCTTTGGTGCTGGATTAAATGATGGTGGTGATTTAAGTGGTGCGCGTTTGGATCCCCCATTATTTATTGTCTTGCTGTACGCTGTCAAATCTCACAGGTAGGTACGTTTACTTTAGGGAACAGGAAAATTAACAAGAATTGTCCCCGGCTTTTATATGTCTCTGAAAAGTTTTCTATTTATATAATTTTTTTTTTTTTTTTTTTTTTATATATACTATCGCGACTTACTAATGTGTTACCTTGTAAATTTACTGAGCAGATTTGGCTGTAAAAGGATTAAAATTTGCTTTGTAAGGTGTGGTGGCTTGAACCAAATGAAACAATATTAGTTTATAGCCCCGCACCAGTGTTCTACCTTTGGATCAACAGGCCTCTTCGCAAGCCAAAGAGTATAAACGGAACAACCTTTTGCAGCGACAACCAATCCAATCGTTGCTAGCTTTATATTAGTTTACTCAACTCCAATTAGAGAATTTTAACATTATACCCCAAAAATTGACTGTTGTGTCCTTTGTGTTTTGTTTGTTATGTTGGTAATCTGCTGTATTAATCTTATAATTTTCCGATTTTTTAGTGAAAAAAGAAAGTAATTCATGGACAGAAATATCAATACCCCGTGTATATATGTGTATGTGTAGATATATTACAGGGGTGCCTTCTCTGGTTTTTTTTTTTCAAAATAATACTAAGATCTTTCTTTCTGGAATTTCGATGTTTTTTTTTTTTTTATTTGAACGTCTTTTTTATAAAAAAAATTGATCACAAGTCACAACGCGATGATATTACAAATATCTGTAAACATTTGATGCTAGATGATCACACATTAGCCAAACGTTTTTATCTAATATGGCACCGCAGGTTATTTATATAGCCAAGGAAATAGAAAAATCTTGACGTTTGATCATGTGCGATTGGTGCACCATGTTTTTACACATAAATTCTATTGTGAATTATATAATCCCTAACCCGTATCGGTATTATCAGAATTCTGCGTTTTATTCGTTCGTGAGAATTCCGAATTTTTAAACTACGATTATCGGATTCTTGTTTCTACTTTAACGGACGGTCGGTGATTCCCGCTGTTTTGTAATCCCCGTTATAATTGTTTGACCGATTTGGTCATAACGCCTATTCGTGGAATGTCTAAAGGTCTGCAATCGAATCCCGTTAATCTAAATGCTATCAAGCATGGCTCCAACATATTTATTGTGTACCATGCATTTAGAAAATCAAGGTAACAAATTACATAAAAAGAATTTAATATGCAATAATTCATGATCACCTGGAATATATATGCAAGGCGTTCAATTAGTTCATTTAATTTTTACCACTAATATGAATATACGCATGTAACTATTTGACAACAAAAACTAAATATAAATTAACTGGCAACCAATCATACGTTTCTTCCTGCTATGCTCTCTAAAGACACATGTAACTCCGTATGGCTGGATGTACATATGTGCATACGTACGCAAATCGTTCGTCTTCAATCATGGGAAGCAAAATCTATTAACCGGCATCGATACATTTCATCTCCATAATTTAAATATTGATATTCTATATTTGGAAAAACTTCCATAATCTCTTCCTACAAATAAAAAAATCGCCTGTTATATTTCCCACATGTCCACATGTTCATTAATGTCAGATTGATCACATTAACACGATCTTGACGCGAATAGTATTTACTTTTTTTTTTTTTATTAACTAAAAGACAATTTATTGATTATGCAGAGAAATTCCAATACATATACAAAGTGAACGATCGATAAGCTTGTAATAAACTTGCACAGATCAATATAATCTTGAATAGGTAATAAATAATTATATAAATAATAAACAAATCCACAAGAATATAAATTTATATAACAGGAATCTGTTTATTATATTTATAATCTTGTATATACTTCATCCAAGATGGTAAATGATTTCATGCCACCTGTCTAAATTATAAATTAACTGCCTTCAATCTATTTTTAATTAGGCGGGTAGTAATAAAATTTTTACCCGAGTGGAGTCAAAACTTATTTTCATGATAACGATAAGCTATAATTTCAGTCACATGACTACCATTATTAGCAATAAATTTGGGTGACTTTAGCCCGGTTAAAATGGAATTTATAAAGATACAATGTATATTATTATTGTCCAAAGGACGGGTATATAGTAAATTAGTACGGTATGGAAACGCAAATTGGGACATGTGGAAATCATGATAGGACGTATGGTTTGTAAAAGAAAAAATCCTTTCAAGACAGGTAGTACTGTATGATTATATAAATATGTACGGACGTACGAAAATTGAGTAAAATTTTGATAGTAGATAGGTTTGTAAAATTAATTTTTATAAGTCCATTATCTGTTTGGCACAGGGTCGTGACGAATCTTTGGGTGTGGCTAATAAGCATTAGTTAATATAATTATTTAGCCAATGTGTACTCGTCACGCCGATGATTCGTCACATCTTCATGCCAAATGAAAGAGGAGACCTAATCCTTTTTTCGTATGAGGTTATAGGAAAATTGGCTTTTTTCGAAATAATTTTTTTTTATAAATCGTACGTACTATCCACATGCTCGTCCCAATTTGCGTTACCGTACCGTACTAATTTATTATATGCCCTTCATGACAAAGCTAATTTTCTATAACCTCACACGAAAAAGAACTTGCCCTAACCCTAAACATTAAAAAAGGGCTTACTTGTAAAGGATTAGGTCTCCTCTTACATTTGGCGTGAGGATGTGACGAATCTTCGGTGTGGCGAGTAAGCATTAGCTAAATAATTATATTAAATAATGTTTATTAGCCACACCCAATGATTCGTCACATCCTTGTGCCAAACGGATAATGTACATTATACGTAAAAATTTGATTATATAAACCTAGTTTAACAGTACTATCAAAATTTTGTTCAATTTTCGTACGTCCATACATATTTGTACAATCGTACAGTACTACTCTACTAACTACCTCCAAAGGACAGGAATAGAGCACCTAGTGTCCGTATGTCTGCAAATTATGTCTCAATTTTGATTAGTTGATAATAAAATAAACAACCATATATATGTTGTAAGTGGAATTTAAGTGGATTCGGATTTTTATATAAAACCAGCTGATTTTGTATAAACACTCATACCCTAACCCTAATTTAACTAGGAAATTCCGAATCCACTTAAATTCCGTTTTCACTTACAATATATATAAATATTCGATCATTCAAAGTTGGTATCTTTCTAGCACTAACATTATTATCCCTTAAATTGTACTAATGCAGGCAAATCTGCCAGTTTTTATTATAAATATGTTACTAAAACCATACGAACTTAATAAATTGATTCTCATAACCGGCCGGGTCAAATTTTATATTCGGTGAGTTTTTCAAAAAAAATATAAAATTAAAGCACGCCAATTTGCGTTAAAAATAAATCAAAAGCCAGGTTGCCGGGTCATTTAAAATTTTATATTATGTGAATCAATTTATTAAGTTTGTATGACTTGATTTATTTTTTAATAGGACGGGACTAGACGGTGCACCGTGCACTTTTGCGCACCTATGTTTAATTGGTATGAAATCACGTGATCAATTATACTAAAATCTTATTGTATGTATTCTTAATATTTATATATAAATAACTATATAGCAAAAAAATAACTCTAACCTTAGACAACTACTCAAATATATAAATGCACATATCGATTAAATACAAATTACATTTTATAATTAATACGTATTAGTAAAAGTTCATAATCTACTAAAAAATTTTAGTTACTTTATAATGAGGTGTTATTTTTTTTTATTATGTTGAGTTGATTAACACCTCTATCTTGCGATTTGTTAGTATACTATTCTTGTGTACATAAAATTTTCTAAATTTATATTAGTTATTATCATTACAAAATTTCAAAAAAAAAATTAGTCTATGAATTTTACTAGTCTAATTAGGCTATATAGTTTTATAGAATTTAATTTTTATTTAAAAAAGTATGACAACTTAGTGAAATAGATAAGTTGTTAACTCCTTAAGTGGTAGGTTGTAAGTTCAAAAACTACTAATGATGAAGATTTGAATAATTATTTATATAATATTTATATTATAATAACTGTTTCTAACAATTGAGTTAAGATATCTGTAATTATGATTATATCAGTATAATTAGTAGGTTATAGGGTATTTATGTAACTAGTTATACAAAAAAATGTAAACTAATATTGAATAATACAAACCTAAAATAAGTTTTTATAATTATATAAATTAGAAAACAAGAAGTGAGATGTGGTGACCTAGTGAAGTGGTCAGGTTGTCAACCCCCTAAGTGGTAGGTTAGGTGTTCAAATTCCATCGACGATGAAAATTTGGATAATCACCTATGTAATATTCATATTACAGCAACTGTTACTAATGGTTGGGTTAGGATACCTGTAATAGCAGTCGCACCAGCATGACTAGCAGGTCATGAGGCATCTGTACAATGTTGGAGTTATACGAAGGAATGCAAACTAACATATCAGACAGTGCAAATACTAGATAAGTCCTCATGGCCGTGTAAATCTATTGAAATTGGATAACAAGAAGTCTATTTGGGAAGACTCGAGTAAAGAGGTAGCTGGATCTTCGATGGTCCTATTGTAAAGACTAGCCTGGTGAAATAGATACCTAGGACTAGTACTCAGTCCTAGTAGCCAGATAGGCAAGAATCTCTGAGTTGGAAGTCTCGGAGGTACCACCAACCAGGCCGCCAGAATGAACCAGAGAAAAAGAATATTGGGCCAACCTGATATACCGATAGACTGATTGTAGTCCTATACAGGCTATCTGGATTGGGAGTCTGGTAAAAGAGTAGAGAAAAAGGCAAGGGTATACTAAAGTACCAGGATTATGCTGTAAAGTAGATGCTAGGGTCTAAGTGAACTCTACAAGGGCATAGTGGTTTAATGGTTAGCCCTGACCACAAGTTTTGGTTCTGCCATAATGATACCTAGATCAGCTGTAAAAATGGGTACAGAAGGCTCTGGGAGGTTTACCTCAAGGATAAATTAGTCCTAAGGTTAAGAACGATAATCTGGTACATCTGAGATGACCAGATATATTAACACAGATTATAGGTTTAGAGGGTTTAAAGTGGAACATCCAAGCAGGGGTGTTAGGTACGACAATTGGTGGGGAACCTTCAGGCAGACTTCTTAAATAGGTAATATAAAAAAGTTACATATATAGCCAATTGTACACTCTCCTGTAGTGGTTTATTGAACCACAATATTGATAAGTGATTAATAAAAGTCAAAAGTCCAAAGAGGTCACCTTAATAAAAAAAAAAAATAAAAAAATAAAGATACTATACTTTTACTAGATTATTGTTATATTTCATTATTTCAAATATTTTAATATTATACTTTTTTGAATATATATAAACTGCACTTTTAATAGTAACTTATAAAAGTTCTAAAACTTTAAATATAAAAATAATTATCAATAATTTATTCTAATTTATTTAAAAAATGCATATCTAATACTACAACTAAATTAAAAATTCTATAATCTGAAAACATAATTAATAATATACTATATATATTTTTACATATATGCTATTAACTAAATAAAGGTTAAAAGTTCTTATTTTTATATTAAGTCATTTATCAAAAAATTAATTTATTAGCTTAAACATCTAATTTTCTATTAGTTGTAAGTTTAACATCATTTTAATACATATTTAATAAGAAAAATTACTTTTTTTTTAGTTGGTATTCTTTTAGTTTTAAGTATAAATATATTTAATAATTCATATTATCATCTATATTAAACTTGTAAAATTATTTTTTAATGTATTGTATCTATATAAAAATTTGTATTATAGGTATTTTTAATTAAATTTTTAAAAAGCAATATATTAAATATATTGTAAATGTTTCTAAAAATATTTTTTAATACTGTATTTAGTCTAATAATTAAATCACTAAAATTAGATTTAATATTTAAAAATAATGTAAAAGATATTAATAAACTGTATTGAAGTATTTTATACAGTATTATATAAAATATTTATCGAGTTTATTATAAATATTTCTAAATAAAAATAACTTAGTTTTAACAACATTATTATTAATTATAGCTATATTTTAAATATTATATCTAGTTTTAAGTTAGTTACAAGAATTAGTAGCTTTTTTATAAATATTTTCTAAATGTTGTTTCTATTGATCTATATATAAAATTATATTAACTTCTTTTAAAAGATTATAAAATAATAATATTAATTTAGATTTTTAATATAAACTAGTTATAAATAATTAAGCTATATATTTATATTTTTAAAATCAAAATTTAAAATAATTGAAAATAAAAATACTAAAGTTTTTTATATTTGCAGCAAATTAATTAGTTTTTTAGTTGTTGTTTTTGTCTAGCTTTTCTAATAGCTATAATATATTATTTTAATAGTAAATTATAAACTAATATATTAAAAAAAACTATTAAATATTAAGATAATACATTAAAATATTAATTTATTAACTATAGATTTTCTAAATTTTTTTGATTTTCTTTAAAATATAATTTCAATATTCAAATCTTATTAGTTAAT